CTCCCCATTGCCCCAGGGGTCAGATCTCCTCTCTCCTAACTTGGTTCTTCTGTTCACTTCTGCCCTGCTATGTGCCCAGAAGTTATTGGGACCTCACTCCAGGTAACCACATTTCATTTCAACCTTCCTTGTTCTCTTGGCTGGAGTCCCATGGCTCCCACCCCACTGTCCCTGCCATGGCTCTCACCACTGGCTTCTGGAAGACCTAACATTATCCTCAAGATCTAATAGTAACACTGACATAACATTAAATGTTTCTTTAGACTCTCAATATCCCATGGTCTTCACTGCCTTGATAGCCATTAGTTTACTCCAAAACACATGTCACATTCCCCAGGAGAGATAGAATGATCAGATATGAGGACATCAAGAAAAATAGGAAAGAGCTAGCATGGCCCGAGTGAGGGTTCCGATACCTCACTCCCCAGCCCTCAGTGAGGAGGAAGGAGGGGTCAGCTTTGCCCACTGCTGAAGGTCAGAAAAGACTGGAAGTGAACCTTAACCTCTGCAAGGTACAGGTAGGTCACTGTTGACCTCGACAAAGCCACTGTCAAGGTAGGAGAGGCCCCAGGCTCCCTGGAATGGGGCTGGGCAGGACAGGAAAGGAGTGGAGGTGTTCCAGAGCCAACTGCTCTGGGAGGTTGTTTTGTTTTTCAAGATTTTTATTTTATATGTATGAGTATTTTGCCTTCATGTATGTTCATGCATTATCTGCATGCCTGGTACCCACAGAGGCCAGAAGAGGGCATTGGATACCCTGGAGCTGGAGTTTTTGATACTGGATGGTTGTGAGCCACCATGTGGGTGTTGGGAACCAAACCCCTGTCCTCTGGAAGAACAGCAGGTGCTCTAAACCGCTGAGCCATCTCTCCAGCCCCTACTTACTTACTTGTTTTTATTTTGTGCGTATATATAAGTATATGTATATATGTGCACCATGTGCATGCCTGGTGCCTAAAGAGGCCAGAAGATAGGCATTGGATCCCCTGGAACTTACAGGCCATTGTTAGCCACCATGTCGAAACTGAACCCAGCATCAAGTGCTCTTAACTGCTGAGCCATCTCTCTAGTCCCACTCTGGGAGGTTTATTTTTATTTATTTATTTTTAAACAAGTAGTAAAACCTAGCTATCCAAGGAATGATTCCGAAGTGGAAACAAACTTGGGTGTGCTTATATGAATGAAGTGAGGCGCTGACGGGTTGAGAGGGATGGGGCGGGAGCTTTCCCTGGGAAAGCTTCTTTCCTCAGCAAGGCATCTGGGTCCTTCTGACACAGGCCTATGGGGGAGGGGGTGAGTCTGTGAGCCTCCCTACTCTACCCTGAGGGAGTACAGAGTTCAGCTCACAGCGAGGCTGGGGTATCTCTTCCCTGTGTGCCAGTTCCAAGCTGAGGCTGGCTGTTCCCTTCTCATGGCCAGCTCTCTGAGGGCCTCCCCTAATGGAGCTGGCCTCCCTGAACCTCGCTAGCTCCATTTATCACTTCCTCAGACCTCAGCACACACAGCCAACCTGGTCAGGGCATGGACAACCACTGTTGTCAGCCAGGTACTTCCTACTCATCCCAGGAGCTTCTTCTATGCCAGCCACAGGCTGAGTTCCCAGCTTCCCTTGCAGCAAAGGCACTTGAGTTAGAACAATGTAGTCATTACATTCAGGGAACAATATAACTCTGTGTGTACAAACACTGCTTCACAGAAAGAGCTCTTCCACAACATTAAGGCAAACACAGGGTGCTGGGTGTAATCCAGCACAGTGCCCGTGGGTATTCCCAGCACCATGCCTCCTGCCTGCTGCCATGATGGTCAGGGACTCACACTCTCTGAAACTGTAAACAAGTCCCCAATTCAAGGCTTTATTTTATAAACTGCTTTGGTCATGGGTCTCTTTATAGCATTGGAGAAGTAATTAAGACACTGTGGATGGGAAGCATGAGGCTTGTTTGGCTGTGCTGAGTTTGAGGAGCAGTGGGTCTCATAGGGGAAGATGCCAGGGCCATCCAAAGCAAAAGCCAAGAGCTCAGGAGTGAGGGCCCAGCTGTGGTCCTAGGTGTCGCAGCAGCAGTGCTGAGAGGGCTGAAGCCAAACAGTTGGATGATGTCAACAGGAGACAATCTTCGCAAGAGTGAGTCTCAGTGGTCACCTAGAGACCTCGTATATCAGCCGGCTGTCACACTGCCCTGTCCACACCACCCAGCCTGGCCCTGCAGCTCTGGGAAGCCCTCTGTGACTGCCGTGGACAGCTCAGCTCTATAGGTCCCTACCTCACCAACAGGCTTTGTATTGCTGCCTCGGTCTGGTCCACGAGTGCCTTAGGTACTGGATGACAGTGGGTCGCTGTAACTTCTAGCCCAAAACACCCACAAGGCATGGATTAAGTCTATCCTCCATGATGGACTGACTAATTGATCAGCTGCCAGACTGAGGGTCAAGAAAAAGGGGGAGGGGAATGAGGCTGGTGGACTCAGAGGAAGCTGGACACACACAGAACCTGCCTTTTGGCACTTGGCTGATTAGCTTATGTGAATAGGCTCATTTCGTACCTGTACAGACACCATGGAGAAAACTAACCAGTAGCAGGTGCACGGAAAACAGACCAGAATCCCACCAGTGCTACCCACTGAATGTTTCAGTTTTCCCAGGCACAGATATGACTGAGATTGTCCCTCCCAGCTCCCAAGGTCTGAGACTACACAACTCTCTGTAGTCAGTAGATGAGAGCCCAGGGCTCAGGAGGGTGCCTTAGCAGCCAGCACACAGTGCGCTGTCCTGCCTGCCTTCCTCTCTGGACCTTTGCTGGACTCAGTGAGCAGGCTTCATTACAGACCCTTCTCCAGTATGTATGCAGTGAAACAGGGTGTTGGAAGCGGTAAGAAAAGAAAAAGAAGAAAGCGCCGAGGCTAAGAAAAAGCTTCAGTGTGAACAGAAGATGGGCCTTAAGGATGTGTTCAGGAACCTGTCACCTTGGTGACAGGTGAGACTCAGTCAGTCCTGGTCCCATCCATGAGATGCTAGAGGTGTCCTAAGATATGTCTCCTTTTCCACATTAGCAAATACTCCTAGTGGGTAACACTTACCCCATAAAAGAAGAGGGTTCACTGGAAGCAGAGATAGGAGGCACAGCAGAGCCAGGGTGCGGGGTGGGATGGGGGATGGGTTGGGCAGCTGAACTGGGGGTGGAAAGGACCTGATTGTTCATACCATGTGACTAGCCAGAGGCATGAGGATGACACTTCCCCCCAGCCAAGAGCAGAGTGAGGCGCTTCGGATGGAGACCAAGATCCAGACACAGGTGAGGGGCCCTTCAGTGTCATGTGATGAGTTTGTGAGAACCACACCTTTCCTTGGCCTCATGGGGCTTACGACATTGGCACAAGCCTGTTGTCACCCTCTTCACAGAAGTGGGGGATGACACCGAAGAGGTGTGGGGGGGTGTGGTACAAGTGGGACAGAGGTCTGTGGGCCTGCTACCTGGAACAGGGGTGACAGTCTTTGAAAGAAGGAGACACTGAAACAGTGGGTGGGGCCGACACCCTGCTTGGGACACAAAGGCTTAGGAAGGAGGGAGGGGACTCGGGTGACAGTTCATCTTTCAGATAGAGGTGGAAGTGTTCATCAAATAGCTGGATGGGGGATGATGACACCTGCCAGGCTTATGTCCAGGGACTCAGGCTTCTTCAGGTACACAGCAGTGGGGTGGGGGGTGGGGTTCAGAGCCGGGCCTCCCCTTGGGAGGAGACTGCCTTTTTGTACACACACAGGATGCCAGAAAGGGAAAGAATTCTTGACACCACCAGATACCACATAGCCCCTCAGATCCCAGACAGTTCTGGAACAGGAGGGAAGAAGGCACAGCTACCCAGCCTGGAGTTTGGGACCTGGTGGCATGAGAGTCCATAGCCACAGGAGGGCACCCTAACCAAACGGCAGGCACAGACAGCCTCCATTCCCACGTGGAAAGAGGTCAGCGCTGCAGCACCTCGGCCCTGTTAGAGTGAGTGAAAGGAGCCACCTTTGGTATTGTGGGTGTTCTTCAGGGAGGGTCACCATCCCTGACCCTGTCCTTGTCAAAACCACTTCCTGCTCCTGAGAGCCCTCCTAGCCACTACTAAATGCCAAACTGGGAAGCAGAGCAGTTTACTTCTCTATTCTACTTCCCCAGAGACTTCCACACCTGTCACTGTGTGACCCCATGAAGCAGACACTTGCAGGTTCTGGAGAACAAGAGTCCCCAGTGACGGCCCATGTTGTCGGAGGCTCACAGAGATTGCTGTCTTCAGGACTGTATCGAATCGGTACCACCCTGATTACAACAGGGACACAGACACAGGACCCCAAGACAGACACCATGGTACCTGCTCACAGACATGTGGCCACACAGAACACAAAGTGCACAAAAAACTTCTACAAAGTATATCTGAAGCCAGGTGCTCTTCTAGGGCCCGGGGCACACGAGGGTGGGGTACAGTGGGGATGTTTCCTAGACTGGCAAGCTCCGAGGCCTGTAGCTCAGCAGGTTCCCAAAGATGCACACCACAGGAAAATAGCCAAGGATGAGACTCAAAACACAAACAATGAATGCTGGGCCTGCCAGTGGACAGGGCAGAGAATAGTGTGAAGGGTGTGTGCAATGACTCTTCAGCACCATGAGAAATGGGATGTGACCAGGGTGCCCTGGGCATGACAGAGGCAATATACCCTAAAGGAAACAATAGTCCAGACTGTAGCTGGGGTACTCTTCATCACCTCAGTACTGGACTGAGAACCTGGACAGGATCTGTGAACACTGGAGAAAGACCTTGGCTCCTTCAGATTCCCCACCAAGGATTCCCAGTGGCATTTGCAAAACAGATGGCCTGGGAGTCCTGCAATGCAGAGAGGCACTGTGGGAGCTACAGGCACCAGTGGGCACCACACAGCCAGGAGCTACCAGCCACCTCTGTGTGTAGGTGGTGGGAGGTCTCCACACAGGAAGCCGACTGCAAACGAGGCCTGAACCTTACCCTCCTTCGAAGATCTTAACCCTCGCTGGCTCTCCTCTCTTGGAAGTGGGAGTACCCTCCTCTGCCTTCCCTTGCTTTTCTTCCTTCTCCACTCTAGCTGGATCTTTCTGGCTCTCTGGGGAAAGCAGTGACGGGCGGTGCACCTGAAAGGGAGAACAAAACCGAGATTGGCTAACCTTGTATGCTGGGTCAAGTGCAAAACACCTGCCCACACGGCCTTCTGCTTTTCATCCAGTTCCCCGCCACAGATTCAAGGGCTGGCCGCAAGAGACAAAGTCCCCTCCAAGCTGTAGTTTGACCCCCTCTCATGATCCTTTTTCTCCTGAGAGGCACAGGTGGGTCTTTGTGTTCTGTGCTGGCCTTGGGGGATAGTCTCATTCACCTTGGTCACCTCAGCACTCAAAATGGGGATCAAAAAGACAAATAATGCTGAAGAAGTAAGTGAAGACTTGGGTCTGTCTCACAGATGAACTGTGGCGTTCTCACTGTCGGATCAGAGAGCCAAAGCAGCCAACCAGGTTAAGGGTGTGGCTGCAGAAAAGCACAGGTCTCCAGCTTCCGGCACTGGTTCACTCGAACCAGCAGCAAATCCCAGGAACCACAGACCCTCAGGACCCAGAACCAGGCTGAGGGATCAGGGTTCCCATTCTCCGCAGAGCAATGGGCCTCAGTGAGACCTGACTCCGTGGGGAGGGCTGACACTGGACTCCTCAGCATTTTCCAATGTCCTGAGGCTATATTCTCTAAATCTGAGGCAGGGGGAAGGTTCACCTTCACACAGGGTGCTGGTGCCCAGCTAAAGGACACCTGGTTGGAAACTAGAAGAAGTCAGTTCCGGTGCCAAACAGATCACAGCTAAGCCAGGTTTCCCAATGCTTAAAGGACATTTTCAGAATAGCCAGGGGAAGACCAGAAGCTACAAGGTTGACAACCGTCAGCCAAATGTGCAGAAAAACAGGAACTATAGCCAGGCACAGGCTGGGTGGTGCTGGGGGTGGGAGTGAGTCTCCCATCACTGGAGACATGCAAGTGAAGGAGGGAGGCGGGTTGTAGAAAGACCTCAGCTCACAGATCATGCAGTTATGTTAATGTGTGATATGTGTGGACTTTGGGCAGGGAAAATTTGAACAAAATTGACAATTCCAAGGAAATGTCTGCAGGTTTTAGCTCATTTTAGGAAAGCAGCAGGATGAAAACATGATTGTCAAAGGCAGAGACAAAAACCTAACATTTCTTTTATCTTCTCTGCCCCTGACACCTCTCATCAAGGAAGAGGAACAGCTCAGACATGTTTCAAAGGGGATAGGAGTGAGCTCTGGTTCTGAGTCTGATCTTTGCTATTTACTGTGCGGCACCATGCAAGTTACTTAGCCTCTCTGAACTTTGATCTCTTTACCTACTATACCCTAGTTAGGTGTTATGAGAACAAAAGTAAAGTTTAGTATCTGGCACACAGCAGTCACCCCAAAAGTTTTGAGTATTATTACACTAGCATCTCTGCAATAGCCATAGTTTATGGCAGCTACAGCAAAAGTGGAAATCCTGTTCAGAAATGTCTGTGGACTGACAAAAATATCAGAGAATAAATTTGGAAAACAGTTTGTGAAGAATAATCGGCTGAGCTCAGGGCACTTCTGATGTAACTCTCACCACCATGATGAAAGTAGAAAGTATGGGCATTCAGGAAACTGCAGACACAGGTCTGCTTCCAGGTATACAATAGAGTCAGGGCTCCAGTGTCTATGTGGTATTTGGTCAAAGCACCTGGTTGGAATGGTTGCTTGTGAACATCATACATCATTAAATTTGCAATTATCTTTCAAAAGTTTCATTCCTCCAGTAACTAAAAAACAAAATAGATACTCTTTGCAACCAGATAGGTCTGGTTTCAGATTCTGGATTTGCCCAATATTTGCCCCAGGTCCTTGACCGCTTTCAGCCTCTGACCCCAGGTTCCCTCATTTGTAGAATGGAGGCGATGCTGCTTTACATGGGGAGGTGAGCAGTGACTAGGTCCCAGGGTCCAGAACAGGGCTTGGCACCAAACAAGACCACTGGCCGCTGTACAAATTTCAAGTATGGTTTGAATGTGAAAGGTCCCCATATCAGCTGGTGATGTTGTTTGGGAAGGTTGTTAACCTTTAGGAGGTGGACCCTCACTGGAGGATGTGGGTGGTTGTGGGGAGGACCTTGAGAAATTTATGGTCTGGCTCTACTTCTTATTCATTCTCTACTATCTGAATGTGGAAGCAATGCAACCAGCTAGCTTCCATATGCCTTTCCTGCCATGATGAATTGTATCATTTTGAAACTATAAACCAAAATAAATATTTTCTCCCTTAAGCTGCTTGTGTAGGGGTATTTTGTCACACTAGGCCAGCACAGGTCACGGCATAGCCTTGTCTGTGTAAAGTGTTGTGTTCTTACACAAATTGAAATTGTTGGATTTCAAACTTCTTAAATTAGCTGGGAAACTTTATTTCATAGCTCTTGAAGTAGTCCAGGTCAGAGGCAATGAAAGAATAAATTGAGAGCCTACTGCTACTCTGTAGCACAGATGGCTCAAACTGTGGAGTGTCACTGCCTCCTATAGGTGGAGAGGTGCACTGCAGCCCAGTTCTACGTGCCATCTTACAGGAAAGGGAATATTTCAGGAGTGATTTGTATCAAATGTGAAGGATAAAAACAGCAGACACAGATAAAATAAGAAAAGTTGAAAGAGACTAGTAGGGCAAGGGAGAACCCCCATGGGAAAGGGTTGGAATAAAGTTCTAAAATGGTAAAAGCATCTCACCAATAAAACTTCCCAACTATGTCCTTTGGAGAATTGCTCTTTACCTTGCTGAGACTAAACTTTCTACAGTACAGTAGAAGCTTGTGGGAAAGTAGGGAGACTTTCCTGATTACATTATTCCAATTATGTTAGGAACACAAGAGCAGAGAAACCCAATGAACATATTTCCTTATAAGGTCACAACTTCCAGAGAAAAAAATCTGTCCCGTCCCTCAAAGCTGGCTTTAATTCTACAAACCTAGCAAGAAGACAATGTGGCTTTAAAAGCTCAGCACAAACTTTAGCATGATGACTAGAACAAGGCTGAACTTACCTCTGTCATGCGGGGCTTTCGGGAGCTGGATGGCACCAGCCTTCCTGCCTCAGGATGCGGAGCTGTGGCCATGGTGTATGTCTCTTTGCTCACTTTCTGCTTAGATCTCAGAAGGGACAAAGCAGCTTTAGTGGAAACCCCTGGAAGGTTGGGGTTGTACAAACTTATGCACCAACCAGCGTAAACAGAGGACCTCCTATCTGCATGCTGGATGTGATTTGGCTTAATGTAGTTTAAATAGCACCAACTGACATTAGTGGTCGTGTGGAGGCTGGGGAACTGAAGTACCTTCTTTGAGTCCGTACCTTCTTGCAATTTGGCTGGTTTGGGGGAAGTGTCTGACAGAGGCAGAGAGCTAGGGGGTGCCAGGGGAGGGAGGTCAGGCTGTTCCTTTGGATCTTCTTTCTTTATACTCAGTGGAGGCAGCCCTCTTCGGTGAGCTTTGCTAGATGGTTGAGCATATTCTTTCAAAGCCTCTGAGCCTGGGGCTGTCCCATGGGGCAATGTGGGATAAGAGAGGGGAGAAAGCTCTTTTGGGTCGGATGGATCTGAAGGCAAGCTAGACAGTGTTTCTGCCTCCCTCCTGCTCTGGCCTTGGCTGCCCACATAGGGCTTCTCTGTCCTCTTCCTGTCCTCTGTACTGGTCAGCACCACACTGCAAGTGCTCACCAGCTCCAATTTTTCATCTGCCTTGGAAGCCTCCTCCTCTTTTACTCTTTTCTGCTGCTGGGTTTCCATGGTAAGTTCAAGACTGCCAGCAGGAGAGAGGACACGCTTGCTTCCACCGGCTGTGGATGAGCACCCCTCCAGGCTCAGGGTACCCTCCGAGGACAGTGATGTGCCTTTCCTCTCAGGCACTCTCAGATATGGTGTCTGGAAACCTCTGCTTTGCTCCTTGCTTATGCTAGATGGTCCAGGGCCAGCCTCATATACCTCAGCCCCCCACACAGTCATCCCTTTGGAGGAAGGGTCCTCATACTTGGTAAGAGCCATACTTGCTGAGCTGCCTTGAGACTGTGTGACCAAGATCTGAGACAAGGTGGTATACATGGCACTCCCGTAGGACGGCATGTGGGTCTGGATGCGGACGGGAACAACCAGTGACACCATAGCATCTGGACAGGCAGGCAGGGTCAATGTTGGGGCTGATGTGGGAGCTGGGGAGGTAGCTGGGGGAGTCACAGGGGGCAGCTGGATGTCACTGCTATATTCTGTGCTGCTGGAGGGGCCAGAAGGTCCTGTTGCCAGAGGGGCCAGGCTGGTTGTGACTGGGGGCAAGTGGCTTTCTATTTCACCAGGGAGCTGCAATGCAAACTGGGATTGTAGAGGCAGGAAATATCCAGAGAGGGTTGAGGAGGCAGGGCATGGCATGGGGAGGAAGGAAGGGGGCTGCCGGAAGGGGATATCTGCAGGGTGAGGCAGGAGCTGGGGGAGATGGAGCTGGCTGGGGTGTAGCACAGTAGGCTGCAGTGGAAGTGGTGGAGTCTGGAACAAGGAAGGTGGGAGTGGGGGCATGGAGTATGGCGAGGGGAGGAGGCTGGCCATGGCTTGAGTGGGGAAGAACTCAGAGGACTGTTCTTGCTCCTGAGGCAAGAGGTGCTGCAAGGAGAAGAGGGAGACTGGTGGGGGCAGCTGGGTGCCAGGAGGTCGGAACACTTGCAGGGCTTCTGTGTAGGGTGGGCTGGACCCCAGTGGGGGCCTGTCCTGTATCTGGCTCTTGCCTTCTGAGGGCCCACCTTGTATGGTAGTCACGGAGATCTGGGGCACGGAGCTTTTGGTGGGAGGCTGGCTGGCTGAGGGCTCCTCGCTGCTCTCTTGTTTTCCCTTGGGGGTGGCCTCCAGCTCTGCTTCTGGAGGTCGGCTGAGGGAGGCCTGTCTCACCAGAAAGCATTTTCTTCTTTCTGGTGGAGCGGCTGGGGGTGGCGGAGCTGCAGGCACTGTTACAGAGGGTCCTGTCGGGGACAAGCTGCCATAGTCAAAGGATTTGCTTCGGGTCTCAGTCATGTGTGAGGAGTGGGGCACATTGGGGCTCTGCTCTGAAGCTGACCTTCGCATCTCTCGGGCGTGTGGGTGGTGGCTGGGGACAGTCAGCATGTGGGTGCCCAGGGTTTTGGAGCGTGTGTCTGATGAGGGCCCAGGGGCGTCAGCTTTTCCGTGATCCTCCCTGTCGAAGGAAGCCGAGCGGCTGGAACCACTCAGAGAGATGCTGCTCTCCTGGCTTGGGCTTCGAGACAGAGGCACGGAGGACTCAAAGCTGGACTCCCCTGAGGACTGTGCCATCTCGGCTAAGCGGAGTCTCTTTTTCTTGGGTGGCAGCTTCTCTGCTGGGAGCTGTGCCAGCGTCTGGCTGCGCTGGGGCCACTGGAATTCCTCTGTCTTCTCGGGCTCCTTTGGGGGTGGCTCGGGCTCTGTGTCTGGCCTGTCCGGCTCTTCTGTCACCAGGATCTCTGGAACCTGAATGTTGGGCTGGCGGACCAACCGCGGCTGCAGGGAGTGAGCTGAGCGCCCATGGGGGGCAGGTGGTGGGGATGAGAACTGGGCCACGGGCTTTTCTTCTTCCAGGCTGCTCGGCTGCTCCAGTGGGTCAGACTTCTCAAAGGAGCTGGTGTGCTGGATGACAGAAATTTCTTTGGACATTTTTCTCCTCTCCTTCCCTGGTTCTGATCCAGTCCCTGGCTTGGGAGTCCTTGGCTGGAAGCTCGTGGGTCCCTCTAAGGAGGGAACTGATTTGCTTGGTTCTGCTGGTGACTTGGTGGACTCCAAGGGAAGGATACGAGCTGGGTCTGATGGGCCAGGGCTGCCAAAGGCAGGTGGCTCTTCCTCATCCCCAAGGCTCTTCTCCTTCCGTCTTTTTCTCAATGGAGTGAGTTCCAAGGTGGCCCCTAGTTTATAATGCATCATCTGGGACCAGGGCTCAGGCTCAGCCTGAGTCTTTTCCACTTCATGAGCACCTGCAGAGTGGGCTTTTGTGATTTGGAGCTCAGAGCAGTAGTACTTCTTATGAGCTTCATAATTATCTCTCTTTTTGTACCGAGCACCACAGATGGTACATTCATAGCTCACGCCTTTTGTTTTCAACCCCTTCTTGGTCTTTTTGGTAAGGTCGCTTTCCTTGGATTCTGGGTCATCAGAGGGCTTGGAGGTGGGGTCTTTGCTGCTTGGTCCAGGCTCCTCGGAACTGTACTCACCTCCCAAAGGTAGTTCAATGGCTGGCTGGCGTTTCAGCATCCGTGGGTGGGAGGTAAACATGGGACTACTGCGGCTGGGGGTTTCGGGGTCAGCAATGTGGTCGTCGAAGGAGTAGCTCCCACGGAAGGTATGGTGGGGGGTGCTGATGGTGCAGGCTGCGGAAGGCATTGAGTGGCTTCTCAGGAGAGGCACAGGGTGCGTGGAGCTGGGCGGGTGCTGGAGGCTCAACAGCGATTGTTGTTCGGGCTTCGTCTTCTCCCCATGGGATGATAGTGACTCCCGGTAGAGGCTGGATTTCGGGGACTCCACGCTGCTGCGCCTGGTCAGAGAACTCCTCCTGGGCTTCACACTGTCAATCTCACTGGTGTCCACCACAGCCTCATTGATGGTGATGAGCTTTGTGATGTGTTCGATCACCTGTGTCCGGGGCACAGACAGAGGCACCAAGCTGGGCTTGTCTTCAGCAGACAGGGGCAGCAGGGGCTGGGTGGAGGTGGATGCCAGCATGGAAGTCCGCTGCCCAATCCGCCCACACTTGCCAAAGATGATCTCTGCGTAGGACTTGGCATTGGTGTTAGGGGGGCTGACCTGCTGCTCAGCGCTCTCAGAGCGTGAGAAGTACCCAGACTCCGTGCTGCCTTTGCTCCCTGGGCTCAGGAATGTCTGCTCCTCAATCAGCTTCTTCCTCTCACTCAGGCGGAGTGCCAGCTTCTGCTTGATGGTGTGTGTGTCTTCGGGTTTATGGGTCAGGGGATGTTCCGATGAGGCTTCTGCAAATGGGGTGGGGTCCTCAAGCGATGGTGCCGTGCTTGACTGGGACAGAGAGCAGCGTTCCTGGCTGGAACTGTGGCTCCCTGAGCTGTATAAGCCACTTGAGAGCAGGGGGTGCTTAGATTTGGGGAGAACCTCTGTGGGGGGACCTGGTGTGGTACCAGTTTCCTCCTCGGAGTCTGTGCTTTCTCCCTCGGTAGGCTCCTCAAACTCTTCCCCAGGGATCCTCTCCATCTCCAGCCCGGGTGGGTACATCTCACTGCTGGAGCCGGAAGCCAGACCGGCTTTGATGCGGTGGGCATGGGACTTCCTGTGCTTATAAAGGTTACTCTTGGTTTTGAAGGAGAAGCCACAGGGGCCACAGGGGTAGGGCCTCTCGCCCGTGTGTGAACGAATGTGCTTCTGGAGCACACTGGGCTTGGCGCAGGGCCGGCTGCAGTACTGGCAGATATACTTCCCTGGCTTCTGTGGTTTCCTCTCTTTCTTATGTGCCTCTTCTGTGGGCTTCAGGGAGACCTGGGAGGGACGGGGCACAAAGACCTTAGGGATGCCAGGCAGGTCCTCGGGAGGAAGGATGGAAGCATGGGATGGGATGAGCTGGCCCTGCGGATGTAGCCCAGGGGCCACAAAGGAGCCTGAGGGTCCAGGCCTCATGGGGTCAACCAGCTGCCACGTAGACCCCTCTAGGAGATGCTCTGGTTTGCCAGGGGACATGAATGCTGGTGTCAGAGGGTGCTGTGGAAACTGTGAGATGTGGACTGAGGCCTCGATGGAGGGCCTCCGGGGAGGCTTCTGCTGCTGGCCGGTTTTCTCCTGAGAGCCTTCTCTAAGAACCACCGAGGGGCCTGAGAAAGGCTGCGGGGTTAGGAGCTCCTGGGTGGCACTCTCTGAGGGAGCAGTGGTGCTGCTGCCTGGATACGGGACGCTGGAAGAAACACTAGTCTGAATGGCTTCTCCTTTGGTCAGCCGCTTCCGGGGACTTCCATCAGCCTTCTTGGTGCACTTGACGCTTTGTTCCGGATCCATGACCTTCACAAGACTTCAGATGCTACTCAGGGAGTTTGGGGTGGGTCGCATTTATGAGCAATCCAAGAGTCCCGAGGTGTTTAGCTTTGGCCACATTGGTCAAGAGCTGTGGAAGCCAACCCCACGATGGCTTTGGGGGTTGGACTTTTTTTTTTCTCTCCAAGTGTTAGTGGCTGCAAGTGGACTCAGAGCAGGTCTTGGGGTCCACACTGTTCATATTGGTGTGGCATGGCCCTCTACTCTGCAGACAGGAAGCACACTGGCATTTTCTGCCTGAGTGTCTGTCTTGAAAACAGCATGAAAGATGTCAGTATTGCCATTGAGTGGGTTTGATTGGCAGTGACAAGCGGCCCCCATGAGTCCCCTGTGTGCTGTGTGAACAGCTAAAGGTTGGAGACATCTGTCTTGTCATCTCTGGTCCTGGCTGGAGAGGTGCCACACTGGGATGCTAGGGCAGCTCGGCTCTGGCCTCTTCTCCCCTTGAGTTCTGTATTGGAGGTTAACAGGTTCAGAGGAGAAATCACGGTCTTCTATGGGGAAAAAAACACACACACAACAAAGGAAAAAGATTTACTGAGGCTGTCCACATGTTGGGCAAACAAGGTGCAGGGTTAAAGCTGGCTAAGACTCCCTAAACATTAGCCAGAGACAATTCAAGCAGGATGTAGAACCCCCAGCTCCCTGTGGACATCCTGCACCACTGCCTCCACAGAACCAGTACTTCTGACACTGGTCTTGTGGGGTTACTGGGGGCTAGAGGCCTGGGCCCCCATCCCTGCCCTGCAACCCAGTTCCAGTGAGCCTGGGCCTGCCAAGCCTCTGCTGTGAATCTGGAATAAGGATAACAGAAGTCCTGTCTGGACTGCTCCTGTGGCCTGCAGCAGAGTTCATGAAGAAATGGACAAGGATGCTGCCGAGGAGGGAGAGATGGTCCTGGAGGGGTGGGGCAGAGGAAGAGCCTGAGGATGCCGGGATGAGCTTTCCAAGGGATAGATTGTTAACCATTAGTTTCTCTGGCCCTAGATATGCATGTCCTTGAGAAGTATCACTCACTCCCTATCTTGTTTTTGGGCAAAGCAGCAAAGGACGGGGAATGGCCCATGGGGGCACCTCAAGCTGGCTGTGACTACCAGATTGATCCCAACACTCTCCAGGAAATGGGGAATCTTCCAGAAGATCTCTCCAGCTTTGCAGTCTTTTTTTCGGGTTTTGGTTTTTCGAGACAGGGTTTCTCTGTGTAGCATTGGTTGTCCTGGAACTTTCCCTATAGACCAGATTGGCCACAAACTCAGAGATTTGCCTACTTCTGCCTCTCAAGTGCTAGGATAAAAGGTGTGTGTCACCACCACCCAGTACTTTGCAGCCTTTTCCTGTTCCCCAAATGTGCAAAGGTCAGAATGGAGGTCCTTGTCAAGTTGGGAGGTAAATGGCCTGCAGCTCTTGAGGATAGCTGGATGTTGGATAGTCCAGTTTCCCTGGGTTCAGAAGGATTCTCAGAGTCCTTCCCTCTAGGGAGGAAGTCAGATTTCAGAGTTGGAGGCCACTGTGACTTCATCTCACACACCTTCCTATCATTCCAGATGAGCAAACTGTGGTCCAGCCAAGGCAGGCGGCTTACTGAAGGCCCGGACTCTTGTTTGCTTGTTTGGTTTTTGCTTTTGGCGGTGCTGGGGATCAAGTCTAGGGCTTTGCACATGCTTGGTAAGCACCATTGACCACTGAGCCACCTCCCAGCCCTGGATTTGTTTTTGAAGCAGGATCTTGCTATGTAGCCCAGGCTGGCCTTGAAATTACAACCCTTCTGCCTCAGCTTCCAGAGTATAGGGATTCATCTGTGCCCTGCAAGGTCTCAGATTCTAAGAGACAATGGCAGCACCTGACCCAGGCCTCTGAGGCAGTTTACCCATGGTGCCTTTCTTCTGTGTTGCCCACCTCATCCTCCTGTGAGGATTTCTCTGCTTCTGTCTTCGGTAAGTGTTCCCTGCCCCTGGTATCCTGACCCAGGTTCCCTCCTTCCCCTGGCAGAGACTTGAAGAACTCACACACTACACTTCCACAGAGGATGAACAATTCAGCAAGGCTCAACCTCCTGTCAAATGCCAGTAGTTAGGGCCTGGTTTTTGCTGTGGGAGGCAGATGACCTTCTTTTGGCTAAACGTTACATCTTGTAAATGTACTTCTTTTGTGTTTTTGACATCTTTATTCTGCAAAGAGTGTAAGGTAATTACAATAATCTATAATTAAATAATAACCACAAATAACAAATTGGAACCAAGAAAACATAAATGGGAGCAGCAAGTTAGGGTTGGTGGGGTGAAAGAGTTTTGTCGAGCCAGTCATAAGTACTTACAGAATTTCTATAGTTCAGCTGCACATTTTCATATGTGCTTCCTGGCAGTCGTGGAGAAAAGGGAAATGTGATCTAGTGTAGAAAGGAAGCCATGGAGGAAGAGAGAGCTAAGTTCCTTGCAAGAACTCAAGGGCTGCTAGGAAAGACCCTTTTCATGTGACACTTCAGTCAGGGGCAGGAAATGATGAAGGTCCTCTCTGCCTTCAACGACATCCTTTTAGCAAATGCAGGTTTTGCCAATGGAAGCCCAAACTCAGTAAGGGGTATTTTTCAAGGACTCAACTCTCTAGCTTAAGCAGCAGAGTTCTAGAGATGAGGGGACCATGGGATGCAAGGAGCGCCGAGTTTGTCCTAAGAGCCACACAATTTAGTGGCAGTGCCAGGCTTGTCCCCACCTCAGTAACGTTCCCTGTGGCTCTCGTGAGGAATGGGCACTGAAGCCTAGGGCTCCCTGTTGGTCCACAGGACACCACTGTGTCTGCAGCAGGGAACACGTCAGGTGTGTAGAGTCTGAATGCAGCCCTGGTTTTTCTGCTTCTGTCTGAACTTCACTGTGCTGCTGGAGGGGAAGTGGGGGGTCTGGCTAGGCTGGGCCCTGTCCTGGTGGCACTGCCCTGCTTTTCTCATCTGAGTGAAGGGAGACAGAAGTGCCAGGGTTTCTAATGTCTGAGGAGGGGTATGCTGTATACCTTACAGGGGAAAATTGCTCTCTGGGCTGGGCCTTCCAGCCTTGTTCATTGTGTCTTTTGGGGAGGTGTGGAAAGGCCTCTGTGTGCTACGTGGTAGTAGTGGATTGATTGTTATTTCTGTCTCTCTATTCTTTGGTACAAGGGCCTGCAAACTCAAACTGGTGATAAGCATTGCTTCTTCCAATAGATGGAGACCCCACAGCATGCCTGGAGATGAGGGGGCCAGTTGGCAGAGGAGCACACATTGTCTGGTACTGTGGTTTCCTTCCATTTAACCCCAGCACTATCCAGGGACAGGTAGGGGAGGTGGTTGGGGTCTGGTGTGATTCTCAGGACCAGGGAGAGAAGATAGGATGCTGAGGGAAAGAGATGACTATTGGGCCATCAGGTTACTCATTGGGACTACATTGCCTGCCTAGGTCATTAACTAGCCTATATCAGGGGCTGGGTCTCGTTCTTTCCTAGAGGTTTTTTAGGGTCCCAGGGTGCAGAGTCAGGACCTCTGAGGCTCCAGGTCACACCTTTACTCTGCATTCAGGGCCCCTGAACCATGATGGGGCCAACCAGTCATGGCTACTCAGGGTCTCCAACCTCAGGGCCAGTACCCTCTGTGTCCTGTTCTACCATAATGTAGGACAGGTGCAGGTAATTGTTGCCAGGGCATTGGAAGGGAAGTGGGGACTGAAGGTCTTGGATCAGTCTTGGATCATGTCAAATTCAGATGTGATGTGAGCAGGTGTTGGTTACTCTTTAGCAGGACCTAGCTGACCCTTGTGACCTAGACATGTGAAAAACATCTCTTTCCCACTTGCCTTGGTTCTGAGCATGTCTGAAGTGACAGAGAAAAGGACACTTTACAGATAATTAATGAGAACACCAGATAAATCTCCAGAATAATGGAGCAGAGTTTCAGGGCTCCCTTTCAAGCCATGGAGAAGACAGATGTCCTTTACAGATGGTCACAGAATAGCCACAGGGTTCATGTCATTTGCCCCTGAGGCCATGGTCCCTTAGAAGCCAACTGATAACCATGAGGAGAAGCTGGTTTTCAACAGCTAATTGGTTAATAAAGCAGGCCAATCAGCGCCCATTCTGGAAACTTCCATAGGCTTGTCTATGGAAACAATTCAACAAGAAAGTAGTCAGAGCTCGCTGGGGCTAGAGCCATCAAGGTCTCAGGGAAAAGCATGTAACAGAGACTGCAACAGGTTCAAGGCAAGGTGGCCTGAAGCCTGAAGATAAGTTGGAAAACTCCTTTGAAATCTAGTTCTACAATGACATGGCCAGAACCTGAAGGGGACACCCTGAGGCTGGGGGAGCCAGGAACTGGGCCCTGTCAGGCCAGGTAGGCCACTACCACTGTCAGGACACTAGCTGGGACCCACTTCAGGCTCTAGGCTGAGGTGCTAGGCAACTGCCCAAGTGAGATAAGGTTGAGGTGAGGCAAAGGCAGGAACTTCATGCCCAGGGAGCTCTTATGCAACCTTCAGCCTAGACTTAGAGGTTCTGACAAGGTTCTTTGCTAGTAATTAACACCTCCCACCCCAGTTATACCAAAGTGTGGTCACAGATTTTACTGCTAGTCAATAAAGCATGCTGATCTCAAATTGCCAGCAAAGCGAACCTTTCCACTTTGAATAGATGGGAATCCAGGACTCAAGACCACAGGCTGGACAGGACGTGAGCAGTAAGCATTCTGGCTTCACGACACCGTATTATCAGTGTCCCCTAAAGATGTCTGTGTGGTGTTTGTGTTCACACACTTGTGTGTGGGCAAGACTGAGTATGGTGCCTCACTTATGAGGTCAGATGGCAGCTAGATGGGGCAGACATGAGGATGTCAGCCTGGAGATTCGGAGTGAAGTGGTCAGGGAGCCGCAGAAGGAAGCTGGACCAGAGTGAGGTCAGCTCCCCAAACGATGAACAAAAGAAACCTTTTCTCTTTACCGCTTTACCTCAGGTGTTGTGTTATAATAAGCAAAACTTAGTACTCATTAGCCTCAGTCACTTGGACCACGTTTGTCCCTGTAGTAACACATGGGGGAAGGGGCTGCTCGCTCTCAGGGACACTCAAACAATTTTCCTTAGACAGCTCATCTCTGACTCTTCTTCTTCTTAGTCTTAAATTCACCTCTCATGTAATTCTGAGACCTAGAGAGAGGGCTTTTGATTTCTGAGCACTGATTAAACACCACAACCTGTTTGTACAGAGGGGAGTGCAGGAAAGCCTAGTGGGTTGTGTCTGGTTGAGATCTGCCTTCCTGTGAGACCCGGGGACCAAGGTGAAACTACTGTCATCAGAGAGGTTGAAGTCTCCGGTGACATCCACAGAGAAACCAGGAACAAGATTCACAGCCATTACGCAGCAAGGATAAAGCCAGAGTGCGCTGTCCTGCGTCGGTCACCCTGGGATACTGGTGCAGTGATAAGAGGCGGTGATGGCGCACACCCAGGTTCTGGGTCTGGGACATGGACAGGGACTTCGAATCCC